TAAGAGGAGGAGCATATCCTCTCCTGGTTGGAAAATAAACAAGGTTGTAAGCTTCCTGACAGCAGAGTCTCTGTCTTCTATTCTTTGTGTCTCCTGCATTAGCCAAGGGCCTAGCCTCCTATATGTAAGCTTCAACAAACGTCTGTGAATGAATAAGTTAATCATTACATACTTCGAACAGAACTGAACTGTAGAACCTGTCCAAAGAAGAAAGGCAAGCCCGGCTGGTGTGGCTCACTGGTTGAGCATCAACCCATGAACTAGGACAGTGATGGCGAACCTATGACACGCATGTCAGAGGTGACAGGCGAACTCATTTTTTTGGTTGATTTTTCTTTGTTAAATGGCATTTAAATATATAAAATAAATATCAAAAATATAAGTCTTTGTTTTACTATGGTTGCAAATATCAAAAAATTTCTATATGTGACACGGCACCAGAGTTAAGTTAGGGTTTTTCAAAATGCTGACATGCCGAGCTCAAAAGGTTCACCATCACTGAACTAGGAGGTCACAGTTCAATTCCCAGTCAGGGCACATGGCTGGGTAAGGGGAGTGCAGGAGGCAGCCAATCAATGATTCTCTCTCATCACTGATGTTTCTATCTCTCTCCCCCTTTCCCTTCCTCTCTCTGAAATCAATAATAAAAATGTTTTTTAAAAAAGGCAAGATTCCATATTCTACATAGAAAACTGAATAACTATCAGGACTATGATTAATTAGCCAAAGGATCAGCGATTTCTTAGGCCAAGGGAAACAAGGTGTGTATCAGTGTGGAGACTCTTAGAATTCTTAAAGTTTAATTGCCTTTGACCAGGCTGTGTGTAACCCAGGAATAATAGATTCACTAGGACCCAGGTTTTCAGGTAAACACGGACAAATCCTAACCCTAGGATCAGCAGGTAAGTCCCCCAAATCCTATTTGTTTTCACCAGAGTCTTGTGTTTAGAATGCAACAAAGCAATAAATATGGGCAAGGTTAAAACCAATTTTCAGTTATACAGAAACTTATATCCTAATAGTTTTTAAAAATGACTTGCAAGGTTTTCATGCTATATTACCGCGTTTGATTAATTTGTTACAGGATTATGATTTTATAATATGTTATGGCTAATGTTCTGCTTTTCAAGTGAAATCCAGTATGCATATAAAATTCAAATTTCTTAGCTTGGCGTAAAAGCCCTGTGTGGCATGCTATCAAATTAACTACTTTTCCAAAATCACATCAAATCCTCTTCATATGCAATGTATGCTCCAACTGTATTCAATTTCTCTTTCGGGTCTCAGTGAATTTGCATCGTCTGTGAATTTGCTCCAAACAGTGTTTCTCCCTCATCACCAAGCCTCAGAAAAGAGTTAATTACTTTCTCCTCTGTGTATCTGAACATACCTCTATTTTTAAGAATCATGTATCCTTTGTTTTATAACCATTTAGTTTTCAACCTCATGCACCCGTGATCAGCAAACTGCGGCTTGCCAGCCACATGTGGCTCGCGAGCCGCGGTTTGCTGACCACTACACTAGGCTGTCAGCTCCAAAATGGCTGCAGGCAATTCTTCATTTTGTCTACCTCACCCTAGTTCAACAAATACTCACTGGCTGCCCCAAACATCCATGCTTACATATTTATGAAGCCATTACCAAGTAATGTATCAGATTTCATGGCGTTAAATTGTTAACATTTAATAAAACAACTTGCAAATAAATTGTTAAAGATCATGCTAAGAACAAGGCTCCCCCCGCTCCCAAGTGGTTTTAGCTACAGTTAGTTGTGATGGACACTTGCTCTGGCCTGTGGAGACCCAGGAAGAGTAAAATGCTTTAGACCTGTAATTATATCTATGTAGTCTGCCATGAGAAGTGATTTTCCTAGTCCAAAAAGGCTATGCTGGAAAAGCCCTGCTTTTGGTGATTTCATTAACATTTAAAACTGTTAACAATTCTGTCAGCCCAAACTGAAAATGACTGTGTGAGACATGAAAGCTTACGTAACGCAGACACTTGTTCTTCATGGCTCATTATCCTCGTGGCTTTCATTACGCAGCCAGGAAGTGGGGTCAACGTCACAAAATTCGGGAACAATTAAGAAAATTACTGCACGCAGAGGTGACTTTAGAAAAGACTGTATTTGGCAACATAAAAAAGAATGATGAAAAACCCACAGATGTTTTATAGCTTAAGGCAGACTTTATCCAGGGTTGTGCCCACTTCCCGTGACCTTTTCCTGAACACCTTGAATCTTTCTCTTTGATGGCATTCCCAAGGAGTTTAGGAAGTCCCGGGCATATTTCCTGAAGTTCTCTGAGCTCGTTCTCAAACACACCCATGGAGGTGAGGATACTGTCACTGATCCTTATACATTTGAATTGCAGTCAGACTCCAAACCTTACAATCTTCTTTTAGAGCTTTTATAGTTTGTGGAAATAGCCACATGAACAAAGATGATTCACTAACCTAACATTTCATTAAAAGAAAAGTGACAGAAGAAAACTAGATGGTATCTAGGTAAGTTAAAAAACAACTATTTTTAATTTAGACAAAATCTTGTATATCTATCAACCACTTGTTTTTCTTCTACAGCTACAATTGACGTAGGGTGTAAACATAATAGAAAATGTCTTTTCCTTCTTATTTATTTGTGTGTTTATTGTTAATCCTCACTCAAGGATATTTTCCCCTCATTAGTTTTTAGAGAAACTGAAAGAGAGAGAGTGGGGGGGAGAGAAAGAGAGAGAAACATCAATGTGAGAGAGAGATACATCGATTGGTTGCCTCCTGCACACACCCTGGTTGGGGCCGGGGATTGAACCTGCAACTCAGGTAGGTGCCCTTGACCGGGAATCAAACCCGTGGACCTTTGGCCTGAGGGCCAATGCTCTAACCACTTAGGAAACCGGCCAGGGCTCCTTCTTTCTGTATCAATTTCAATAAATGCATATTAAGTGATTGCTATATGCTAGGTATTAAACTAAGCTGGGTAATATTTCTACTTAATAAAATTCATATTTTGGCTCATAAATCAGACACAGGCCAACAGTGATGATTCGTACATCATTTCATGTACGAAGTGCATGGGCTCCTTACGGAAGGAGACATAACTCCATATAAATTTAATCTGGAGAAGCCAGAAAGATCAGTATGGTCTTGATAAAATAACTCCTCGAGGTATATGTTATAACCCATGTCAATAAATATTTCTCCCTGTAGTTTTTAAACATTTTTAGGATCCAAACAGAGTCATTTTTCTTGGGCTCTCCATTGTACATGAGACAGAAAGATGCTAAATAACTTAATGTAGTTTTCACAAGTGGTTTTTCCTGCCTGCTATTTACAACTGTCCTTTCAAAACAATGACTATTCTGAATTATAAATAAAAACTTTGCTTATATTTTTGTTATAAGGGTGAATATTTCTTATGCTAGATAAAAATCTGAGCCTCGCTTATGTACTAGTTCAAAAATAGTAGATTAAATCTGGACAGAATCTATAAAATAAAAATATTCATAAAATTTATCTTGTGGAATTTCAAATACAATATGAGAAAATGAAAAGATCAGACTATGGTAGAATACCTACTTTTATCATTAAGAGGTTCCTAATAAATAATTTTTTCATTTCATTAACAATCTTCTTTAGGAAGTATATAGGTTGTACTTAAACTCTGCCATACACATGGCATTTAGCATGTTGCCTTGCACATATTAGGTGCTCAATCCACATGTGTAAAATTAAATGTAAAATGCATAGGCCCTCCTGATCTTTCATCAAACCATCATGTCTTTCTAAAAGGTAAGACACTATGAGGTTGTCTTGTGTTTCTCAATATGGTCAGAGTCTCTGTACTAGGAGGATTGCCTAAAAATGGGCTCAAGCCTAGAGCTAAGCCTTTTCCTCTGAAAGACCAGTAGTACTATGATGTGGCTTCTCTGATCATAGGTGATCCTCTTCAGAAAAAAATCTAGGCCCTTATAAAGTAACCTCTAAGGATACTCTCCTTTTGGGGGATCATGAGAACCATTTCTATAAAATGGGTTACTGTTTCATTTAAATGGGCTTTTTCATTTTAGCTTCTGAGCCAGACTGAGGAACTGGAGAGGAAATATACCTAAATCTATATACCTAAATCTATATAATATACCTAATCTATATATATTATAGATTTAGGTATATTCCCTCAGTCTCAGTCGCTCAGACACACAATGAAACATATATATATATGTGTGTGTGTGTGTGTGTGTGTGTGTGTGTGTGTGTAATACTCTTGTAGGAACTCTTAGTTTGTTCTTTTTCTATGTATGTATGTATGTATGTACCTACCTACGTATGTATCCATCACAATGTTTCCATGGATAGTAGTATCTACTGATTACATTAGTGAATAAGGAAACCAGAGCACAGAGAAGTAAGGTAACTTGACCAAGTCACACAAGTGGCAGAGCCAAATTCAAGTTCAGAGTCTGGTTCCAGGTTCTATGCCTGTAACCCCTACGCATACTGTCTCAAGCACCTGGGAGGAGAGAAAAGTCCGTTTCCTGCTTGACTAAATTTTTGTCCAGGTCTGTTGATAGGGGAAAGTGTGGGCAGGGACAGAAACATTTTTGTGCATTTCTATGAGCTGAGCATCATGTTAGGTACTTTTCATATATAATTTCAAGGTATCTTTATTATTATATTAAGCTATTCAATATTACCCCAGTTTATCAATTAGCAAACTGAGGCTCAGAGTTGTTAAATAACTTGCCAAGGACATACAGCTAGAGAGGTACCAAGTCAGGGTTCAAAAGTAGGACAGAGTGTTCCCCACTACACACCATATGCTAAAAGTCTACAGATCAAATTCCAGATGACAGATCATGAAATACTAGCCTCATGTAACCAGAAATATTATTAGAGCTTGAAGTTTCTCAGAATCAAGATTTTTGCAAAGGAGACAGACAGGGAAATTTTACTTCCTGTCCCAGCCTGGTGCATGGGGATGTAACCCAGGCCTTGCTTCCTACCTTGACAGATATTGTCCTGATGTGAGGTTTGCAGTTTCCACATCCATGCAGTTCATTGTGCTGGGAATGAGAGCAAGTTCTGGCTGGATCATGGTGGCTGAGGCTACAGCTCTTGCGACCAATTCCATGGCATCTTGCACATAGTACTCAAAGACCGACTGTGTTGTTTTCCCATGAGCGATGAGCCCTAAGGGAAGACCTTCTGTCCTCAGTTCCTCGACATTCTGTGAGTCCCCCAGCACCCAACGAAGCTCAGAGGGCATTACCCAAAACTGGGTGGTAATCTCGAAAATCCGCCGGATACTGTCCATGTGGCAGCCGAACATCACCACTGTGGGCGTGCTGTTCTTAATGCTCTCCAGCTGGACCTGCAGGAAGCTGAGGAGGTCCTCGGTGGAGGAGAGGTTGGTGGTGATGTTGATGACAGAGCCGAGGTGGAACCTGGCGTTATCCTGGGTGAGGAGGAGGAAGTCGGTGATGTTCCAGTCTTCCTGGCACAGCAACAAGCTAAAATTGTACCAGTTGTTCATGGTCAGGATTGAGACAGTGACATCAGCATCAGAACTTAATGAATTTTCTAAACTCAGCTGTAGGTGAAGGGGATTCTGTATTTAAAGATATGAAAAAGAACAATTAGAAAGTGTTGGCCAAGGATTATAACATAGGGTGCTTCTGCTTTCTAGTGAGGCTTAATCCTCATTATTTCCCCCTATAATATTTAAATGCACATCTGGGATAAAATTCCCATAATTTGGAAAACTATGTTTCCTATCTAATGGGATTATTGAGTCCTTACAACTGATTTCCTCATAATGTTTGCTAAGATTATCAGATGGTTCTTAGTGTCACTATTGGGGTGACACAACCATATATACATTTGGTCTTTAATTTTTATTAGGCCTGTCTACTTCCTAACAGACTGTGCCCTTTATGCATCCCATTTCTAATTATTACTGTTATTAACCTGTTTGTTAAGTTTTCCTCTCAGGTGACATAGTTGAAAAAATTACATCTGCTTTCCTTTAAAATTAATAGCAGGTACTTATATAAGGACTACAGACCTGTGCATGACATTTGTGCACTGGGGGGAAGGGAGAGGGGAGTTCCTCAGCCTGGCCTGCTGCCTCTCGCAATCCAGGACCCCTTGGGGAATGTCCGCCTGCTGGCTTAGGGTGATCAGGCCTAAGCTGGTTGTCAGACAACCCTCTCACAGGCTGGGGCTCCCTCATTCCTTACCGCCCGCCTGCAGCCCAGCTTCTGGCTGAGCAGCGCTCTCCCCCCCCCCCCCCCCCAAGCGTACTGACCACCAGGGAACAGCTCCTGTGTTAAGCATCTGCCCCCTGGTGGTCAGTGCGCGTCATAGCAACTGCTGTTCCGCCTTACGGTTGATTGGCATATTGGGGTTTTATTATATAAGATGGTGTGGGAAATGGATGCATCATAGTTTCTGAGACTTCTAGCCACTGAGGAAGGCACTTCTAATATTCATGGTGCTATGGTCTGAATGTTTGTGTTCGCCCCAAGTTCATATGTTGAAATACTAATGCCCAGGAAAGTGATTAGGTCATGAGAACGGAACCCACATGAACCCTCCTGAGAGGCTCGAGAGACCTTCCTTTCCCCTTCCTCCATGTGAGGGCCCAGTGAGATGTTGGCTGCCTGTGACCCAAGAGATGGCCCTCACCCAACCATGCTGGCACTGTGATCTTGCACATCCAGCCTCCAGAACTGAGAAATACATTTCTGTTGTTTACAAGCCACCCGGTCTGTATTCTAGCAGCCTGATCAGAATAAGACATATGGCATAATTAACAATTTATACACTAAGATTAAGTTCAATATTGAAGGCTTGCTTACATTTCTGTATCTACCGAGAATGGATTCTTGCTGTGAAATGTGTGCTTATGTAGCTTCCATCACAATTTCATCTACTTATGGAACTCACCAATTCCATGAAGGAAGAATATCATATTTGAAAAGTCACAAATTACTAATCAAATAAGTGGAAATAGTCCTCTAATGAATAAACTTATTAAGGTGTTCTTCCCAAGAACAGACATTTGACACATTTATCATTTCATATTGACATCCTAAGAATGTTCAGCACAAATCCTTATATGTATTAGGTGCACAATATATATTGGCCGCACTGAACTAAGTATGTTCCCACTGGGAACGATCATACTATTGATCTATTTCTGAGAAACTGTCCAACATTCAAGTCAATAATATCAGTAGAGAAATGAGGAGGACGTTCTCAGCAAAGTTTCAAGCCCTTGAACAAAAGGAAGTGTGGCCTTTCCTTACCCACAAAAAAAAAAAAAAAAAAAAAAAAAAAAAAAGTCACAAGAAATAGCATTTGATATGTGTAGAATAAGGAGTGAGTATTCCAAAGGGATTTATGGGAGACAAACTATGACCAAAGGCAGTAAATGAGCACAATAGGTAGGACTGAATCTTAGAACTTATTTTGAGAATTTGACCGTCCTTCCAAATTAAGCTGTGGCAGGGCTTGTAATAATAAAAGGAGAGCATTTAGGGGACCAGCTATTGGCTGCAGTCCACGGGGAGAGGGAAACTGAGCCCTCTAGGATCGTGATTAAATGCTGTTACACTGGAAGCCAGTGCTGGCAATGATAGAAAGGGGGATGGGAAAAGTGTGTGTGTGTGTTTTTTCAAATTAAAATCTAATGACAAGATTAGATATGAGAGGCAAAAAAGAGAAAGGTGTCAAAAACCAGGAGATAGTATCCAGTAGGTAGTTTGGTTTCCAGGCTGGGGGAGCCCTGGAAGATCTTGAGATAAGAGAGGAATGAAAGCTTTGCTTCCTCCCTCCTACTACTGTTCATATCAATTGCTCCAGAGAGTTTTTTCTGTCTTCCTCTTTTAGCTTTCTTTCTTTCCTTCTTCCTTTTTATTTCTTCCTTTGCCTTAATCCTCTTCCAGAAGCAAAGAGCACGGGAAGGCAAGCTCCGTTTTTAGGTGGCAGAAACAAACTATTCCCAACTGTTTTCTTGGCTTCAGCTCCCTATTCTGTTGCCAGTTTTCTTTCTAAAACATGAATATGACCATATCATTCTTCTGCACCACAACCTCTGAATCACCCATAGGACCCATTTCAAAATCAATAGTATGGCTTAGGAGGCCGTTCCTAGTCTTTAACCTCCAATACTCCAAATATGCACACCAAGACAAGTCACAGCGGACAGTGTAGTTCTCTTGTGTCAGAGTGAGCTTTCCATGCCTACACAAGTATGATACCCCATCTCACCACCTAGAAATGCATTTGCCTGGATTCATCGTCATCCTTTAAAACTCAGCTTTTCCATGCAGATTTCCAGAAACTAGTTTATGTAGTGTTTATGACTGTTTCTGTTGCTGCTGCTGAGGATCTCTTACTTTTTTGTCTCACACTATTTTTGCCCTGTTGATTTCCGGCAGTGGTGAACTGGGTTTTTGTTGGATGGTTCCTCTAACTGCTGACCAACAGAATTAATCATCTCATGTCTGTGTCATGTCCGACCCTTTATTACAGAACTCTTCACACCATAGTGTAGCTATTTGGTTATGTGTATATCTTATCACACTAGATTGGAAGCTTCTTAAGGAAAAGAAATATATCTCAACCACTTCTTCCAGCACAATTCTTATTCAACGTGAGAGTATTTGTCAAACAGGATTCTTTTTTTCTTGGCTTCAAGTCCTGGGCTATGATCATAATCTCTTCCCTGAAAGACTAAGAAGAAGACCATTCCTAGCAGAACTTTTAGATCTGGTATTTTGTCCCCAGTTGCAACAAAGGCCCATCATACACTTTCCATGAAGGGATTCATTAAACAGTATGTGAGGAGCAAGCTCTAATGGATACAGGGATGAAAATGTTCTCTTCTTGCCAGATGCAAGCTGGCCGAGAAGGGGCCCCCTCACTGCTGGCCGAGAAGGGGCCCCCTCACTGCTCCCATGTGCCAGCCACACAGGCATGCCATTCTAATCCATGCGCGGATACGTCTTAAAGTGACTTGACCTTTAGGATTACTTGCAAATATGAAGTCTACAGATGCCAAGGCTCTCCTTCACATGCTCTTACCAAGTGGAGGGAGCAGTACAGAGGACTGGCCAAAAGCACAGGCTTTCAAGTCCTACAAACTTGGGTTTGGGATCCAGGCTCCCTTTCTTAGTAACTGCAACCTTGGGAAAATTATTCTTTCTGAGCCTCATTTTGGTCATCTGTTAAAGGAGGCTGGTCACTGCAGCCACCTCCTGAGGCCACTGTTTGGATAAAATAAGGCAATATACATAAAGCACCAGGGACATCAGTAGCTATTATGAGCTTTTCATTTCTATTATTATTAGATTATAATTTCTGGACAAAGTCCATGTATTATGTTTTCCTGCATCCTTAATGCAACCCTAAAAACAGTTAATTTCTTTAAATGCCTGGGCTTTTAAAGGAGTAAGATTTAATTTTCAGGAAAAAACTGGAAAAGGGGGAAGACTGTTCTAGGAAAAGTTCAATAATTATGATTAGTAGGGGTAGGTGGATGCAAGTGTCTCACTATATAGGCATTCTCTGAGACTTTAAAAAAAAAGAAGCATATAAAAATGATTATTCACTATATATAGCTAAACATATAAGGATTTAAAAAACATACATATTTAACCAAAGTAAGGCAACATATGCTTAAATTCTGGCTGCATCATTTAGGAGCTCTGTGGTCTTCTACAAGTCATTTAGTATTTTGGAGTAAAATTCTTCATCTTCAAAACGAGACGAATTCACTTCGAGAATTAAATATGAGAAGGAAATAAACACATGGAAAGTGCCTGGCACATGGAGGGTCGGTGGTGGTGGCTGCTACAATCTGCTTGAGTTAAGGCGTTGCATTGGAAGTGCTTGCTAAAGTGACTGACTGGGGGACAACTTTTCTCTTTGCGATTGTTCTTTTTCCTTCTCTTGCCAGTGGTTCTCAACCTTTCTAATGCCACGACCCTTTAATACAGTTCCTCATGTTGTGGTGACCCCCAACCATAAAATTATTTTCATTGCTACTTCATAACTGTAATTTTGCTACTGTTATGAATCATAATGTAAATATCTGATATGCAGGATGTATTTTCAGGGGACGCGACCCACAGGTTGAGAACCGCTGCGTCTTGTCTCTTTTCAAACAATGGTCCCTGAAATAGGTGTGTTTTAAAAATACCAATTACACAAACTCTTTACTAGGAAAACAGCCACTCTGTCTCAGGCTGGGAGAGACCATTCATTTGGCAGATATTATGTTTATAGCAGAGTACCCCCCCCCCCCCCCCCCATCCCCAAGCCTCTTTCCAGTTCTAGTGTCACTTCACTAAGTTAAGGAATTTTTGGTGCCAACTGCTGGAGATCCCCCATCAATTTTTGTTGTCCCTGAGAGTACAGATTAAGCTATTTTCTGGATCAGTAGAAGTTTCAAAAACAGGATTGGCTGCAGTGAAGAACCTGCCAGAGAGCTTTGAGATATTCCCTTGGCAGAAGAAAAGAGGTAATGAAACCAGGTTTGCTGTAAGAATGGAGAAAAGATGAAATTCTCTTTGCTCTTTTCTGGCAAGCACACCCATTCGG